CAGGTCTGATGTGCTGTTTCGATGAGAACAGTAGCTACAGTGTGCATATACAAACTGGTCATAGCACTAGTTTTGAAATAAACAGTGAGGCAAGGGATCAAGTTTGGAGAGATGTAGTATTTCAAAAAGAAGGGAAAAGGCAAAGAGAGAAAAATAGTAAAATGGGAAATAACGGTCAGAGAATGATAGTATTTTATTCTTTCTGCCCCATGCTAAGAATACACCAACCTTCAAGGCTAGATGTTACAAAATAACAAAAAAACTAAAGTCTCTATCTGAATATGAGTGGGACTCATAACAAAAATTAATTGATAGCACACTTTGGATGATCTGATGATAATTGCAAGATCATGGCTTCAGGATGAAAAAGATTGGATCCTGAATACATAGTACATAATAATAAAAAAAATAGGAAGCTAGGCAAGGATAGAGGCATAATATTCTTAATCAAGGTTGACATTTGTGCAACAGTTAGGGATGACTTTGGTTTAGGAGATCAGGAGGTAGAATGAGTTTGGGTGAATATCAGAAATAGAAGTGAACGAAGTCTTTCGTGGCTATGTTCTACAGCCCTCCAACATTAACCACAATGTAGGACAAAGTGTACAAAATGCAATATGGTAGCTTGTAATAAAAAGAGTTGACAATAATCATGCATGACTGAAAACTACACATACATATAAATGAAAGAAAAAGCAGATTGATTTGATTCGGTTTGTCACATGTACCAAGATACAGTGAAAAGTATTAACGTGCAAGCTAACCAGACAAATCATACCTTACATAAGAACATAGAACAGAATGCAGAATATAGTGTTACAGCTGTAGAGAAGGTGCAGAGAAAGATCAACTCTAATAGGAGAGGTCTGTTCATAAGTCTGATAACAGTGGGGAAATAGCTGTTCTTAAACCTGTTAGTATGTGTTTTCAAACTTATGTATCTTCTGCCCGATGGAAGAGGGTGGATGAGAGTATAGCTGGGGTGGGAAGAGTCTTTGATTATATTGGCTGCTGTCCCAAGGCAGCAGGAATTGTAGACAGAGTTAATGGAAGGAAGGCTGGTTTGCATGATGGACTGGGCTATGTTCACAACTCTCTGTAATTTCTTGTGGTCTTGGGCAGAGCAGTTGCCATACCATGCTGTGATGCTTCCAATAGGATGCTTTCTATGGTGAATCAATAAAAATAGGTAAGAGTCATTGTGGGCACGCCAAATTTCCTTAGTCTTCTGAGGGAAGTAGAGGCATTGGTGTGCTTTCTTGACTGTAGCATCTACATGGGTGAACCAGGACAGATCGGTGATATTTACTCCTAGGAACTTGAAGCTCTCGACCACATCCACCTTAGCATCATTGATACAGGCGGGGACATATCCTCCACTCTGCTCCTTGAAGTCGTTGACCAGCTTTTTCATTTACTGTAATTGAGAGAGACATTGTTGTCTTGAATGTTGTATATTCGAAACATGAAGAGAAAGAAAGGAAGCCTCCAACCATGAAGAGAAAAGAAAGGAAGCATCTGTGGGAATGCATTAAACTTAAGAAAAAGCATATATTCATGCAATGATGAGTGACAAGACAGTTGATTGTTTAGAATATAAAGAATGGCAAATATGACTAGGCACTGAATTAGGTGGAAGAAATTAAAATACGAGAGGAAGCCAGTTAGGAATGAAAAAATGGATAGCAAGAGCTTATACAACTAAGTAAAAAGGAAATAAAATGAGCCTTTGTTCTTTAGAGATTGAGAATGGGGAGTTAGTCGTATATTTTAAAACTGTAATGAATAAATATTTTTCTCGGTCTTCATTATAGATGATACAAAAACATTCCAGTCATAGCTATAAATCAAGACGTGGAAGGGACAGACGAACTTAGTGAAACGACAAGCAAAAGGAAAGTGGTATTAAGCAAACTGATGAAGCTGCAGGCTGAGAAATCTCTAGGTCCATACAGATTTCATCCGAAGGTCTTAAAGAGGTAGCTAATGAGAAAATAGTTGAATTGGCATTAATTTTCCATAATTCCATAGATTCAGAAAAGGCCCTATTGGACTGAAAAACAGCAAATATAAACAAACTCTCTGCTCAAGAAGGGATGCAGGCATTAAACAGGGATACGGCCATCGCTGGCTAGGCAGCATTTATTGCACATCCCTAATTGCTCAGAGGGCAGTTAAGAGTCAACCACATAGCTGTGGGTCTGGAGTCACATGTAGGCCAGACCAGGTAAGGATGGTAGTTTCCTTCCCTAAAGGACATTAGTGAACCAGATTGTTTTTTTTCCCCAAACAATTGGCATTGGATTCATGGTCATCATTACACTCTCAATTCCAGATTTCATTTTTTTAAAAATTTAAATTCCTTGATCTGCCATGGGTGCATTCAAACCCGGGTCCCCAAAACATTACCTGGGTCTCTGGATTAACAGTCCAGTGATAATATCACTAAGTCGTTGCCTCCCCTTGTAATATCAAACAGAAATCATGTTCAACCATTTGCTGGAATTCTTTGAAGGAGTAGCATGAATTGTGGACAAAGGAGAACTGTAGAAGTACTGGGCTCGAATATCCAGAACAGATTTGACAATGTGCCATATCAAAGATTATTGTGTAAAATAAAAGTTTGTGATGCAGGGCAACATTATTAGCATGAATAGAGGTTTGGCTGGCTAGCAGACAACAAGGGTATACACAAATGGTTCTTTGTCTGACTGTCAGGACGTGGTCAGAAGTCACATGATATCAGGTTATAGTCCAACAGGTTTATTTGAAATCACATGCATTTGAAGTGCTGCTCCTTCGTCAGGTGAAGATTTCCTGATGTAGGAGCAGTGCTATGAAAGCTTGTGATTTCACATAAACCTGTTGGACTATAACCTGGTGTCGTGTGACTTCTGACCTTGTTCACCCCAGTCCAACACCGGCATCTCCATGTCATGTCAGGATGTGATGAGTGGAGTACATCAGGGTCTCTGCTGGAACTTCAACATTTTACAATTTACATCAATAACTTGTATGAGGGAAGTAAAGGCATGGTACCTAAACTCATAGTTAACAGCAAAAAGGAGGAAAATATTTTGTAAAGATTGCAAGTGGGCAGAAATCTGTCAGATAGTGTAGGATGTGACAAAATGCAAAATTTTTCACTTTGTCAAGAAAATGGAAATAAAGAGAGTTTGTCCTTACATGGGGAATGACTGCAGAATTCAAAGGACCAGAGGGAGTTAGGTGTTCTGGTTCATGAGCCACAAAATGTTAGTATACAAGTAGAGTGCATAATTAGAAAGATAATGGAATGTTATCCTTATATATAAAAGGCATTGTATATTACTGTGCGGATGTTATGCTTCAATTAAACAGAGCATCGGAGAGATCTCATTTCAAATACTGTGTGCAGTTTTGTTCCCCTTTTTAAAAGGATGTAAATCCAGTGGAAGTGATTCAGAAGAGGCTTGCTAAATTGATACCCGAAATGAATAGGTTTGTTGACTTTTTTTTGCAGAGTGAGATGGAGGAAGAGAAGGCCAGAGTGTGTGTATATGTCCACTTCACTCCCAGTCTGTCTTCTTTCTTTACACACACTCTCACAGGCTTACTTACTCCTACAGAATAACTCTCTCACAGAAACTCACTCATTTACAAAGACGAGCTTGCTCCTAGAGATTCATAGGCTCACTCTGTTTATCTGTCACTCCCACAGATACATTCTGTAATTAACATTCTCACCACACAAGCGCCAGGCAATGGCCATTTCCAACAAGATACAATCTAACCATCAATCCTTTGCCTTCAATGGCATAGCCATCATTGAATCCCCCACTATCACAATCCTTGAGCTTGCCATTGACCAGATACTTAACTGGGCATGCCATATAAACACAGTCATTACAAGAGCTCAAAGGCTAGGAGTACTGTAACAAATAACTCACCTCCTAACTCCCCAAAGCCTGTGCACCATCTACAAGGTACAAATCAACAGCGTGAAGGAATACTCCCCATTTACCCACATGGGTGCATCTCTAACATTACTCAAGAAGCTTGATACCATCCAAGGCAAAGCAGCCGCTGGAGTGGCATCACATCCACAAGCACCCACTTCCTCCACCACCAACACTCAGTAGCAGCAGTGTGTACTATCCAAAACATACACTGCAGAAAATCACAAAAGATCCTCAGACAGCACCTTCTAAACCCAAGAGCAGTTCCATCTAGAAGGAAGGGAGCAACAGATACATTGGAACACCTGCACCTGCAAATTCCCCTCCACGCTACTAACCATCCTGACTTGGAATATATATCACAATTCCTTCATTGTCACTGGATCAAAATCCTGGAATTCCCACCCTAATGGCATGTGGGTACCCATAGGACATGGACTGCAGTGGTTCAAGAAGTCAGTTCACCACCAACATCTCAAAGGCAACTTCACTGTCATACTGTTATCAATCATAGAATAGAATCTATACAGTGTGGAACAGCAATTTATTTTTAAGTCTTGATGGTACATGGCTTGGAAGACAGCTTGTGGATAGTGGTGTTCACACCATCTCTGACATGGAAGATCTAAATCATCACAATAATTCACCTAATCTAGCCATGTTCAAGCATTTTTGCTTTAATGGATCACAAAACCTAACTTCACAGTAACTAAAATATTACCCATGTGAAAATCTTAACTTTAATCAGTCTCCCACTGATGGCAGGTTTCTGACACAGAAGACAAACCCAACTCATGTTTCCTGTCCCAGCAAAAATTCAGCCTGAATCCGAGTTCACACAGATGGATAAAACATTTTCAAAGCACGTTTCTGGTGCAATTCCTTTCAATTATTTATATATTATAATTCTGCTCTTTTAAAAAGGCTGACAGTCTTTAAATTTTTGTCAGCTAGACTCAATCCACATGGGCCTTTAAGTTAAAAAGGAAAAATAACAGTCATGTCATTTGGTGTCCCCTGTGTCTGTTAGATAGATGCAACTTGCTGCTTTTAATCTTTTCTTTGCTTTTTGGCAGAGTTCAATGCCTCAGGAACAGAACTCATGAATGAAAATCTCACACCTGGGATCTTGTCTGTTGTTGTCAGCTCCATGATCATGCTGTTCCACAAGACATTCAGCTTTTCTGGAAAAGAACAAATGAGATAATGTTTTCTCTTCTGCATTTACAATGCAAAGTTGCATCCATTGGGGATGCTAATTATAAAATTGGGCAAGTAATACCCTTGATTGCCAACCCATTCATTTAAAATTTGCCTCAGATTTTAATTTCAGTCAGATTCATTACCAAGCAGTGAGCACATAACAACCTTTATATTCTAATCTCTGAAATCATAGTATTGTAAAGTAGTTAGATGCGTGGATTATGCTGTTCAGCCCACTAACTTCAATTCAAAGGACAGAAAAATGATAGTATCCCTATCACTGAGCCAGAAGGTCCAGTTTCATGTCCCAGAGATGTGTAACAGCAAATCCAAACAGATTGATTAAAATAACCACAGCTTGCAGTCCAGCTGCTAGCCATGCCCCTCTATGCGGCCTGCAGACTTACTGTTCAAAATAAAGATCAGTGGGAGTGACAGATTTGCATGGAGCTGCTCCTTCAATCTCAGGCCATTTCTCTGGCTCATTTGCTATGGCGAGTTGATTAATAGCAAATGCGAGAGAGAAACGATCTGTGATTGGAGGATTGGCAAACAGCTTAAAAGTGAGTCCATTTCTGAAGAAGGGTCTAGGTCCGAAACGTCAACCTTCCTGCTCCTCTGATGCTGCTTGGCCTGCTGTGTTCATCCAGCTCTACACCTTGTTATCTCTAAAAGTGAGTCGTTTCTCTTTTGTTTTCACAGCAAGGGTGCATGGTCTATCTGACCTTGACCATGTGTGTTTCTTGTCTTCCTGCATAGGTGTTGGTCCCCAAAAGGAGCAGAGGTGGTGGGAGGCAGTACTGGTCCAGGGTGCAATTGATGTACCAGGACACAGATGGCGACAAATATTGACTGCACCTGGAGAAACGTTAACTCAGTGAAAGACGCTCTATGATCTACCTGAAACTTGTTGGTCTTCCAGATCAAGGAGTTGACCTCAACCGAGTGTTGCAGACTGGCACATTCCAAGGTCCATGACAATGTGCTGAGGAGCACACTAAAGCTTAGGGCAGCTGCCGCCAAGGTGCAGTGGGGAAAGATCACTGTCTGTCTAAGTTAATTGGGGTCCATTTAGATATCGGACTCTCCTAGTGCCTCAAATGCACGTCAATACAGTATTGTATATGTAAGAGATGTCTTTGGTTTATGTGGATAGAGTCAAACTCCAATGTTTACTTGTTTCCTTGATATGCTATACACAGAACCGTACTTCATTTGTGACTATGTTTATATCTAAAGTTTTTTAATGAATAAAGTATATTTTTGAAATTAAAGAAAAGTTTGCACATGATGTACTCACCAGGGCAGCTGAAGACTGACATGGCAGAGTCAGGACTTGTGCGAAGCTCAGTGCAAGCTGGAAGAACAGCACCTTATTTTCTGCTTGGGAAGTCTACAACCTTCTGGACTCCATATTGAGTTCAACAACTTTAGAGCTTAAACTGTCCCATGTCCTTACCCCTATCCCCACACACCAGGCCTTATCATCACATCAGCTGCTAATACACACAATCCATTGATAGTCACTAACAGTCCCCATTAATTGCTTTTCACCCACCCAGTCTGATTATTATCTACTCCTTTGTCTGTTCATCTGTTCTTCTCTGTCTATCTGGGGTCCATTTCCATCTATCATTTACTCCCTACTCCCTACTCCCACCCTATCCTCTGCATTAAAACCAACATTTTCCTAGCTACCATCAGTTCTGAGGAAGGGTCACTGGACATGAAATGTTAACTCTGATTTCTCTCCACAGATGCTGCCAGACCAGCTCAGCTTTCCAGCAATTTCTGTTTTATTATAAAACTATAATAGTTAGTCCATAGACCCTGACGAAGATAAATCCAAAAGTTTGGCAGGGCCCAGGTGACTAGCCCTTGGGATGGTGATTTGTGAGAGAAGGGGTAAATTCATTAGGTGGTGGTAAAAGGCAATAGGATGGAAACTGGCATGGAGGCCTCCATTGGGCAAAGTTGTAATTTGGGTGCCTTCATCTATAAAGGGACATTAAGGCGCATCCTCCAACTTAACCGTATCTAGTTAGCAATTTTTTTGACTGGAACTACATGTATTCTGTTAGGTATTTTGGTAGTCCACCTGTGGGAAGGGGAATGCCATATCAACATGTTGCTGATTCAGAACTTGCCTGTACATGTTGGCTGGTTACTATCTTTGTGATGGAGTTATGCTGGAAACTATTTGCTGTGCAACACACCACAGCTGAAGAGCATTCACTGCTATAATATTCTACCAGTAGGGAGAGGAAATTACCCCTTGGCTTCAGAGCCCTCCTTCCACAAGATGCTGATTTGAATTTTATTACAAATTTGCCAAATTTGAAACAACTGGTCTGAGGCAACAGACAATAAGTGGGATATTATAGAACATTAAAGTAAATAAATTAGCAGTATAAATTAAAATCAATATGACTGTAATTACAGGCATGTTAGTTTGATAATCGTAGTGAGAAAAATATTCATGCATTATGAGACTAGGACTTCCAAAAAGGACCTACTCATGAAGGTATTAAATAAGAATGTTATCTCCGTCTTTACCAAGGAAGAAGGTGCTGCAAAGTCATAGGTGCAGATTTTACATTAAGTACTGAGGTATACGCTGTTATCTGTTATTCATACTTGGGCCTTACTTTTGTACTGGAGCTTCCTGTCCTGATTGAACAGGTACTGACGTGACACAGAAGTGCTGAGGGCATGTCCCCTCTGATATTAGCAGCGGAAGGAACAATGTAGGTAGATGTGTGGAAGGGGGAGGTGCTGTAGTGCGCTGTTGGAGTCATGATTTGAGGTGGGAATTGGGCTTCGAGGGTTGGGTGGTTGAGATGAAATACGTGTGAAGTATAGGGTCATTCCGAAAGTTTTGTTTTAAATATTTTTTATTAATTAAAAGGCGTTCCTGGTGCAGCTTTCACTGAAAATCACTTCTACCCTATGTCCTTCACCTGTGATTAACATGTCTGCTCTCCAGATGTTTAATGTTCCCATGTATGTACCATACATGTGTACATGTGTACACAGCAAGACTTCCTCCAGGTTCTGATGCTCAACAGTCACAAAAATTTGTTGCTACATTAATCAAATGATCTCAGCTGGAGTGAAACAAAAGGTTGTTTGATACTTTGCATGGACTAAAAAGTCGATTAGGAGGAGAAACTGAAAGGCAGTTGTACTTAGATGTGATAAGTCACCGGTAACTAATCCAATACATTTGAGGAAACTTAGAGAAGTAAAGGTGGAAATTTTAGAAGCGTTGGCCATAACTTGCCAATCTTCTTTTGATATGGATGGCACCAGAGTACTGGAGAATTGAAATTTTTATATCCCTGTTCAGAATGGTGCAAGGAACTGCTAGATATCAGTTTAACATTAGTTATTGGTAAGCTTTTCGAGATGATAACCTGGGACAAAATTCAGTGTAACTTGGAAAAATGTAATTAAAGAAAGCCAGCACAGATTTCTTAAGGTCAAATCATGTTTAACCAAGTTGATTGTGTTTACTGATAAAGTAACAGAAAGCATTGATGACAGTAATGCAAATAAAGTAGTGTACACAGGTTTCCAAAAGGCATTTAATAAAGTCACTTAACAAGGCTAACAAGTTAAAACCCAGGAAATAAAAGCAGACATTAGCAGAATGAAAATAAATTGGTTAAGTGACAGGAAATAGAGGGTAAAGGCTGTTTCAAACAAAAGAGCTGTTTCAAACAAAAAAAGAGTTTGGAATTAAGAACCTACTGATCACCATGAAATCATTGTCGATTGTCGGAAAAATGCATCTAGTTCATTAATGTCCTTCAGGGAAGGAAATCTGCCACCCTCCCCTGGTCTGCCCTACTTGTGACTCCAGACCCACAGCAATGAGGTTGACTCTCCATTGCCCTCTGAAAAGGCCTAGCAAGCCTCTCAGTTGTACCAATCACTGCAAAGTTTCAAAGGACTGAAACTGGACAGATCACCTGGCATCAATCCAGGTACCGGAAAAGACAATGGCAGAAACAGCCCTGTCAACCCTGCAAAGACCTCCTCACTAACACCTAGGGATTAATGCCAAAATTGGGAGAGCTGTCTCACAGACTTGTTAAGCAATAGCCTGACATAGTCATACTCACAGAATCATACCATTCAAACTATGTCCCAAGCACCACCATCACCATCCCTGGATATGTCCTGTCCCACCACCAGGGCAGACCCAGTAGAGGTGGCAGCACAGTGATATACTCTAGGAGCAGCACTGACTCCGGACCCCATGAAGTCTCATGGCTTCAGGTTAAACATGAGCAACAAAACCTCCTGCTGATTACCATATATCATCTTCTCTCAGCTGATGAATCAGTACTCCTCCATGTTGAACAACATTTGGAAGAAGCACTGAGGATGGGAAGGGCACAAAATGTACTTTGGGTGGGAGATTTCAATGTCCACCACCAAGAATGGCTCAGCCGCAGTACTACTGATCGAGCTGGTTGGGTCCTAAAGGACATAGCTGTTAGATTGGGTCTGCGGCAGGTGGTGAGGGAATCAACAAGAGGGAAAAATATACTTGACCTCATTTCTTACCAATCTGCCAGCTGCATTGCATCTGTCCTTGAAGATATTGGTAAGAGTGACCGTCACACAGTCCTTGTGGAGCCAAAGACCCGCCTTCACATTGAGAATAGCTTCCATCATGTTGTGTGTCACTACCACTGTGCTACATGAGACAGACATTGTATGGATTTAGCAATTCACAACTGGGCATCCATAATGTGGTGTGGGCCATCAACAGCAGTAGAACTGTACTCCAACACCATCTGTAACTTCATGGCCTGACATATGCCCCACTCAACCATTACCATCAAACCAGGAGATCAATCCTGGTTCAATGGAGAGTGCAGAAGGGCATGCCAGGAGCAGCACCAGGAATACCTGAAGATGAGGCATCAACCCGGTGAAGCCACCAAACAGGACTACTTGCAGCCCAAAC